ATCACGCAATCCAAACTATGGACCGTACAATAAACCCACTGGAGTCTGCGCTCCTTCGATGCATGAGGAACAGCAAAACTACACCAACTTTCTCCTGAAGCCCCTCTCGTGGTGGCGAGCTTAGCTCCTGATGATCTTGCGCGCCGTTATGCAGAAGAATAGAATACCAGAGTATCCTTAACATTGGGATGTTTTGCGACTTCCATTAAACAGTGCTCTCGTCATGACTTACAGGTACTTATTTTATAATATAAACGCCCAACTTGATCTGTGATGAATATGATGAACGCTGCATTTCCCGTCGTTTTCATGCAGGGGGTGCTGCAAACCCACGCGCGCCGTGCTTGAACGGCGGAGGCGCAGGGACAGACGTTCGATCACGTTGGAATCGATCTGCAGACGGCGGTCTTCTCGCACGGCCAGCAGCTCTACGTCGCATTATCTCGATCCCGCAATCCCAACCAGGTGAAAGTCCGCATCGAACCGAAGCTCCAGCAAAGGACATCGACTTAACGACGAGAGAAAATTCACACGAAATGTCGTTTTCAATGAAGTCTTCCAGATGTAAAATTCTATTTACATATAAACAACTTTCTCTATCTGTCTATGATGAATATAATGAACGCTTGAGAGAGAGAGAACGAGGCCATTCGGTGTTTGATTCCCAGAATCGACTTGGCCGCCACCGACACGACTTTGCCATTTGTTTTGCGACGACGACAATTTCCCATTCTCCCCGCACACACTTTCACAATCTACAAGTCGCAGGGACAGACGTTCCATTACGTTGCTAAGCAGACACAACTTTATCTATGGCGCCCCCCAACAACCTAGTTTAATAATAATAATGATGACAATGTCCCAAAAAGCATCAGTGAGTCATAATACTTAAACAAAGCATGGTGGTCGCCCATCCAAGCAGTAAGCAGGCTGAACTCTTTCATTCACAGATCTCACATTTAGACCTCCTTTGCCAGTACCAAAATGTAATAATAAAGTTTTTTCCCCTTTTTTTCTGGCAACAAAACTGAAACCTTTTTTACAAGGATTCATGTCTGCATTAACCACAATACCTGCAGTCAAAATGCAAACAAAAAACATACTATGATAATATATAATATAGGACAATGCATATATTATCATAGTATTTTTTTTGCATTTTGACTGTAGGCATTGTGGTTAATGCAGACATGAATCCTTGTAAAAAAAAAGGGTTTCAGTTTTGTTGCCAGAAAAAAGGTGAAAAACCTTATTATTATTAGGTCTCACATTGTCAGGCACGTTCATGGTTGATTCGATCGCGCTCAGCACTCGCTGGAACAGACGTGAAAGCAAGCCCAATGCGGTATATATGCACGCGTTTTAATACTGAGTCGACATTTCTTTTGAAAATAACCGTGGACTTTACAACACGTAAATGTGGCTTAATGCATGTGTAAGACTACGAAAAGAGCGCGGAAAGCAACGTCACATTATAAAAAAAATACATAATAAGCATTCATAGTGCATTTAAAATTCTTATCAGGCTAAGGATGCCAACAAAGGATTTCCCCCCCCCCACCCCCACGGGACAGTCACGAAGAAAATGCATTGACAATGGCAGTTTTTTTTGTTGTTGATGTAAATGTTCAGCCCAGCTCGACGAACCCCTGAATCGCCCCCGTGTCCCCTTTTCCACAGGCGACTGGGGAAGCCCTCCTGTGTGTTTGTGTTACGGGAAAGAGCAAGGGGTGGGGGTGGGGGGAGTGGGACACGTATGACGACGGCCGAGACTTGCGGAGCAGTCGTTTCACATGCGCGCACCGGCAGGTGATTTACCTTGGCAGGAGCCTCCTGGGAAAAAAAGGAACCGCGCATGTACTGTACACGTGTGTATGTTGAACTACTTGCGCAGCGTACGTAGCTAACCGTGCCAATCAGACACTCGGCAAGGGCTTTTCCTTGGTAAACAAGCTTAATTATATATAGAGAAGTGATCATTAACGGGCTGTTAACGGACATTGGCACGAACTCTGCAGCCTCGAGGAAAAAAAGACAGCAAATATCTATAATTTCACAGACGTGTTTTTTAGGGAGTGTGTTCCTCCAGGCCCGTCTCAGGAGAGTTTGAAGCTTCGGTGTTGAGAAAAAAAAAGACTTTAAAATGACTTTGCGGAGTGCTCATTGCATTGCTCGTGATGTCTGGGATACCCTCCCACTCCCCATCCGACACATAAACTCCATCACAGTATTATTCAAATCTGAACTATAGGCCTTTTTTTTATTCATCCAGGCATGCGCTGAAAAACAGGTTATGCATTTTTGGACATTGGAGCGATCGGTATGAACGAGCCGCAGCTTTTTCGCCACTCCTGTGAAGGTTTCCTGGTTTGGTTGGGAAGTTGGGACTGTGCTCGGGGATATTGTGGTGGTAGACCTCGTGGACTCGTTTATCTGCTATGGTAACTTTCTCGTTGTTGGCGCTTTTTGTTTTGGCGAAATTTATTCATTTGTTTATTTATTTTAGATTTTTTTTTTTTTGTCGTAGGGGTTTCATTCGCTCGGTCGTGGCCGTCTATGGGATTTGGTCCCCATATCATTAATGTACAGCGTTATGGGGATGCCATTGGCATGAATGACGCGGTATAAAATTAAAGTGTTATTACCGTCATTGTGGTCTGAGTCTTGCGCTTTTGAAAACACCACAGCAGGTGTGTCAGTGGAGGATGATGTTGCACTCCTGAAATTAAAACTATTCAAAGTGAGTTTCATGTGAAGGAAGCTTCAAACTCACAGAGACTCACGTTACTTATTAACACTTCCACTGCCTCATTACAGAAAAATAAATGTATCGGCTGACGTTAAGGGTAATGGCCCTCCTTTTAGAGCAAAGAGAGGTGAAGATTGATTTGCCGACTTCTAAATTGAAAAATAAAACTGGATTTTTTTAAATGAAATTGACAAACCGTCTTTGATCGACTCCTGGATAGTTTTCTACCGAACTAACTATTCTAAATTGTTATTTTACCAGATAAGGCCTACTGAGCTATATAGCTGTTTTTCAGAAGTGACCAGGCCACAAATGATAGCTCAACGAAGTGGCTTATCACATGGAAATGTATAACAGCCACATACTCAGAAACGCGTGTTTCTAAATGTGGAAGGAAAAACCTGAGGACCCGGAGAAAAATCCACGCGACCACGGGGAGAACATGCATACTCCAAATATACAGCAGGTGTCAGAACTCGAGATCGAAATTGAACCCACGACCTCGTGTATACCTGGCGAGGCAGTTAACATCTCGCTACTGTGGCACCCTCCCGTAAAACACGGCGTTGGGACCTGTGTTTTTGAGTCGGGTATTCCTTTCTGCTGAAATTTTGCGAGCGAAAAGTTTCTTCAAAAATAAATCTGAGGCCCATATGGGGGGGGGGGGGGGGGAGGGTTGTGGAGGGGGCGGGGGGGAGCTCGTGCTCCGTAGGGCAGTTTCTCTTAGTGTGTATGTTGAACTTCTTTCGCACCATACCTAGCCAACCGTGCTAATCGGTCGTGGCCAAAAAGCTAAACAAAATGCATGACCATGTTGGCAGGGGTACCCAAGCACAAATTAAAACGAGCTCGCCACGTTTAGTCATCACAACTGCGTTACAATAGAAATTATACATATGAAGCTGACGCTTTGTACAATGACAATTTTCTTCAAGTCTCCTTCACTGACTGACCCACCGACGCGTTAGCCCATGAAATATTTGTTTCCGCGATAAGCAGTGTCGCTGACGAATGCGGCAAGCCCTCGCGGTTTTGTGCGTCTCAACAGTTAATGTCACGTGTCGCTTCAAAGTTCAAATGCGGTTCGCAAGCTGTAACCAAAGACAAATATCCCCCCTGAAGCCTAAACAGACTGTTGGGGCAAGTGCTGTTAGCGAGCCCCTATGAAGGCCGGCAGGGCACACGAGGGGGTGGGAGGCCGGCACAACACACCCGGCCTCCTTTGTCTCCCCAGTAGTGATGTTTACACACTGCATCAGCTACTCATTTGAGGCTGAGTCGACTTACGGGAAGCCCAGGACGAGTTCAGATATTCGTTACTGGTGTTGGCCATGAGTGGGAATCGTGTTCGCAGCGCAACGCGCTAACCGCTACACTACCGCTCTCCTGCGCTCACACACTCAATCGCTACTCCACTGCTATATATACAAAGACTCCCCGTATAGCCTTAACAGACTGTAGGGGCAAGTGCTGTTAGCGAGCACGGCACACGAGGGGTGGGTGGCCAACACCACGCCCGGCCGCCTTTGTCTTCCTAGTGGCGATGTTTACATATCGCACCAGGTACTCATTTGAGGCCGAGTCGACCTAGGGGAGGCCCAGGACCGATTCAGATAATCGTCACTGGTGTTGACCGTGAGCGGGAATCGAACCCAGCTCGCCAGGTTCGTAGCGCAGTGCGCTAACCGTTACACACACACACGCGCGCGCGCGCAAATGAAGGCACTTTCTAGGCAGCTAAAGATACACAACAGAGCTCTCCTACACTTGGGGAAAGTTTCTGGCTTAACTTAAAATGTACATTTGGATTTCAATACCAATATAATTGTTGAGGAGGGTCGCTTAAAGGCACCATCTGGTGCTATGCCAAGGCATGTATCTCTACTCAGCATTACTGTGTTTGTGATAGCGGACTGAGAACAGCTTCTGCCGAGGATAGATGGCCGGTTTATTGGTTTTAATATTTTTTTCTTTAAAGCTTTCGTGACTGCAGGGATTCATATTCTTGGTTCTTTCGGTAAAGTCACGTAGAAGGGAAACAATAAAATAATATAAAAAATATAAAACAATACAATTCTCACGACATTTCGACTGCAAGACAAGCAATCATCATCAGGTGTGAAAACCACAGCAATTTTTTCTTGCTGTGGTTATCACACCTGATGATGATTGCTTGTGTTCCAGTCGAAACGTCGTGAGAATTGTATTGTTTTATATTTTTTTATTATTGTATTGTTTCCCTTCTACGTGGTTTTAATATTGCTCACTTTGTAAGTTAAAACATATCGAACTGCATTGAATGGTTTAGATTTCACCATCTGCATTTGAATGCAGATGTTTGCTTTACCAGGCAAGCAATTACGATAAAAATATATATAAAATGTAATTTTCGTGTTTTTTTCTTCTTTCAGAAAAAAATCCCATCGATAAAATTTAAAAACAGTGCAGTAGCTGTAAACCGCGTCTCTTTCAGAGTTATTTTTCTGAATTCCTTTAGTGACAAAATTCCGGTACAATTTGAACGAGGAATATCATACTTTGGGACCTGTAATCTTGAAGTAGTCACCGGGAGTTAGTGTCATAGTTGATCGGATATTTTTTAACTCTCATATTTTTAAACTCTAGGCCGAGCATGCCCCCCGATAAGTGAAAACAATAAGCCTCTTTGTCGTGAGTTTAGGGGGCCCATAGACGTGACAATGGTTGCACCAAATGGGAGCTCTGCAGCCATTGTGGAACAACAGTGGAATTTAAATCCAACACTCGGTCACAGCCATCCATGTGTATATGATGTGAAAATAATAGCAATAATAGCTTTGGAAGGCATGCGTGTCACTGTGAGTCTGAGATAAAAGCCAATGAGACCACATTTCAATTTCACGACAGAAGACGTTCAAATTCGACCGTTTTTACGCAGATTTCTCCTGCGTAAGCCCTGCTTTTGACGAGGGCACGGATGTTCACAAGCACGGAGTCCACCTCCGAGATGGGCCCCGGCCAGTGGCACAGTAGTGCGCTCGCACAAGCCTGCACGCTCGATAGCCGCGAGACTGCCTCCTCCTCCTCCTCCTGCCGCTCCTGCTGCTGCTGCTGCTACTGCTGCTGCTGCGGCCCAGCAAGCCGCAGCTTCGCAAGAGTCGGAAACAAATAAACGGAACAAAACGGACCTTCACAGTTCGACGGCGAGCCGCGATTGAGCACGGCTCCCACGATCACCTTCATTCGCCTGCGCTCACCATTCCGCTCGCCTCGCTCGCCCCACTCTCTTTGGCGTAGTGCGCTTAGCATGAGTCCTGGCGCAAGCAATGAAATGAAGCCACCCCTGTTCAATTTCCACCCCTAATCCCTGCACCCCCCCCCCCCCCCTTCATAGCCCGGTCCCTGGGCCCCTCCTGACCATGGGTTTCGGTGCAATGGCACCGCCGGCGCACTCAATCGCCACACCACTGCCCGCTGCACCTCACCGCACTTCCACCCACCCCTGCGATTTACCGTCGACGGTGGCGAGCCTCGTGACTGTACCCGCTCGCTCCGTGCGCCCATAAACGAGGCATCTGCTTGTTTTGCAGCACCTCTGTTATGTCACAGCGCTGGGTAAACAGTGTCAAAGATGATCTCTTCTGTGTTTCTACCACTTAGCACTTTTATCCAAACAGATACGCTTTGTGTTGTATATGCAATGTGCATCTTCGTGGTTTTTTGCCAACTTTCGTAACTGGTTTTGCAAGGCCTGGGCCATTAAATGAGCATTGGCAGGGATTTACGAGTATTGTATTTATGATGTAATGATGTCTGCTCAAAAACCTCTCGGCACTGCCACATGTAAGTGCATTATCGCTCAAAAAAGAACTAAATAGCTGTCTGTCCTCCCAGTGGAGTCTGGTGAAGTCATCACCAAAGCTCGAACAATGATTGTGATGCAGCCTCTCCTATCTCTACATATCACAGGACCAGCGGAAGACCTTAACAACACTTCTTACCTTCAGCCACTACTGACACGGGCCAAAGTCAAGAGCATGAGCATGGAGCCTCACTCATTTCCATTGGTACAAAGTCCACATTCTCACCACACAGAGCCGAGTATTTCCAGAGGAAATCCACCACTGTTGAACTATCCGCAAAGTGATACTTCTTTTTACCGACCGTAGAGGGATGATTGACTGGCATCAACCCCCATGATCGGGATTCAAATTCACAACCTTCTGACTGCAAGTGGAGCTCAGGTAACCACTGGGTCAGGTGGCTGGATTCAAGTCGATATAAAGCGGATAGAATATACTGTAACATGCGTACACGTAGACTTGCGTTAATGTGAAGTTAAATGTCTCCTTTTCGGCCACATTGGTACTTCCACAAACCACACCAAGACAGAGAAACTGTTCAATGAAGTCTCCGGCTCAGTGGGGGAGCGGCGGGATTGTGACGGAGCCCGCGTGCCGTCGCTCAGCTGTAGTGGCCCGTGCGCAGGATGTCGGGAAAGGAAGGCAGAACCTCTGGGCCCCCCAGGAAAGCCTCGTGGCCATGAGCGCCGTTCGGGTGGCAGGACGCAAGGTTGCTCCTCAGGTCGAAGGTCGTCGCCACCTGCAACTCAGTGCCAGACAGCAAGGGAAGTCAGGGAGGTCGGCGATCAGTGGGTGGACCCAAGGACAGCTTCACGAGTCACCACGACCGAGACCTGCTGTGATTGGCAGTTACAATGATACAACATAATAAAGATTTGTTTTTGTTTAGATTGCGTAAGTATAAATGTGTCGTTAACCCGCCGCCAACCCACACGGCCAATTCGTAAGGTTTGTCAAGTAAACAAACCATGCCCATTAGTTACTACTTCAGCCCACCGATGTGGTGTTGGAGAGTAAATCCACAACATTTACGATGTTTCGCTGGCGATTACATCCAGCATCATCGGCCGATTTTTCCAGAATTGCCATTTAGTTTTTTGTGACAAACCTTACTAATTGGCTGTGTCGGGTAGGTGGTGCGTTAAGGACACATTTATACTCATGCGATCTCAACCAAAAAAACCCATGAATAATATTGGTTGCGAAAGCCTACGTGTCAAATTATACAACGATTTATGATTGTAATCATGAAAAAAGAATAGGCTTTATCCTTACCGTCAGGAGCACAGGTGTTAAGTTGTTAAAACTAAAAATAGACACCCATCACAAGGGATCAAGCCTCCTGCATTTACCACACATGCTTGTGGTAAAACGAACAAACAGCCTTTGAAAATGTATGCATTGTCCTTCAAACTGATTGGCCTACACATGAGACAGCCTCATTAGCCGATTAGCGTGGTTGGCTACGTATGGTGTGAAAGAAATTCAACGTACATATATACACATTATGGCCTTGTCTCAACAGTGTGAGACCAAAGAACGTCAAAAGGCGAACAGCACAAACACAATGCAAATATTACAGCATGACATTCTTGGGTCCAGCAGTTTCATCTATGGGACACTTTTCGCCAGTATCAAGATGATGAAAAAACAAGGAAGAAGTTTTAACTTGCTGTCTGGCAAGAATACCGTACAGGTGTTAAGATGTTCAAACATCAAATTGACACCCATCACAAGGCAATCACGTCTGTATTAACCACACATTCTTGTGGTCAAACGCGCAAACAAATGTACTTTGATAATCTATGTGATAGCTGTTTATTTGGCGTTTGAACATCTTAACACCTCTTGCCGGATAATGATAAAGCCTCTTAATCTTTTCATCATCTCGATACTGGCAAAAAAGGGCCCCATAGAATAATAATGATGCTGCTGCACAGTGGTCACCGAGAAGTGTCTAGCTCAGTCTCAAGGCTATGTTACAGGAGGCTCCTTCATTGGGATGTTCCGGTGACACTGTGAGGTGCTATGAACAATTTTTTTTATTTTACCATGTAAGGCGCACTGAGCTATGTAGCTCATTTCAGAAGCGACCTGGCCACAAATGATACCTCAACGAAGTAGCTTAATTGCGTGGAAATGTACAGCAGCCAAGCGCATGTTTCTAAACGTGAAGGGAAAAACTGGAGGTACCCCGGGGAAAAAAATCCACGCCACCACGGGAAGAGAGACACGCAAATTCCAAATTTACAGCAGGTGTCAGCGTCGGGATGGAACCCACGACCTCCTGTATACCAAGCGAGGTAGTTAACATCACTCGTGATCCAATCCCATCACTCGTGAGCACGCGGGGGGGCTATCTCACGAGTTTTTCCATCGGATGCGGAAACGTCCGAGAATTGCTGCGTCACAACCGCTTCCATCATCTCAGCTGCCGGCTCTGCCCGTGGCTCATCCGCGGGGGGGGCCCCGGGACCGCCGCTTGACTTTCATCGGCGCCCGGCAACCACGGAACAACTGTCAACATCCACCCACCCCCCCGCAACCCCTGCAGAGCCTTCTGCAAGCTGAAGAGCCGTGACAATCCGTCCATTTTAACGGTCTGGCTGAACCTGCCCGACAGGTTGCGCTGTCTAAATGAAAAAAAAACACACACACATGCGAAATCCCCAACGGAGACAAAACAACCGAAGCAAATAAGACTTTGGAGCGTCCAACTCGTTTCCTAATGAAACAAGCGCGCTGCCGCTCCCGCAAGCAGCAGCAGCAGCGGCGGCGGGCCATTGTGTGCCGAGGCGATACGGGATAACGAGCCGTGTGTGTGTGTGTTGCTATTCGCTGGCGAGTCGCAGGTTAGGTTTGCATGGCTGATACGGCGGCGATTGTCATGGGTTGCATGCAGAGGTCAATTTTATCAAGGGGGTTAGAGTTAGCAACAATCCCCAATTGTGAGTGTTCCTGCCACGTGTTTCCTGCACCAGAGTGTGGACAACACAATCGCACGCACGCACACACGCATGCACGCACACAATCACAGATGCGCGCACACGCATGTGCACAGAGAACCACATGCACATGTACGCACGCACGTGTATTCAAACGTATACACACAAACATGCAAATATGCCCATAAAGGCAAAGATCCCCCGTATGGCCTTAACAGACTGTTGGGGAAAGTGCTGTTAGCGACCACCTATGAAGGCCGGTACGGCACACGAGGGGGTGGGTGGCCAACACCACCGGCGCCAGGCGAACCACCACACTACAGATCCCCTAAGCCCATGCACACACACGCACATGCACAAATGCACACAACAGCCGCCATTTGCCACTTAGTGGAGATGATGTCACCACAGCGCTTGTGCCAGGCTAGGTGTGCTCCGAGGCCATCACGTGTAGCGCTGGTAGGAGGTCACGGGACAGACCCGGGTGTTATGGGTTGACTGACGGGGATGACTGACAGATGCACCAGCTGTGCTCCTCAGAGTGCTGACTCACAGTCATCGTTGTGAGCATGCACACAACAACGCACACATGCACACAACGACGCACGCACGAACTCACATACGGGATCGCTTTCTGCCCAGCGGTGTACGCGAGAGCGAGCAAGGCCTGGCGGGATCTGCTGAGCGGGCGGTGAAGGTTGCAGCCAGCACATTTACATCGAATAGCCGCGAGATTCCCCATGCAGAGCTCATTAAACCCTTCGGTCGCGATCGCCTCGTGAGCCCACAGAAACCGGACTGGCTCTCTGCTCCTCGGCCACGATTGGCCGCGAAGATTTAAATCAGGGCCGCCACAGCGAGAGAGCCGCTAGACCGGTACAAACAAAAAAACCCTCTCAATGTTCGATTACCGGTTTTTAGAATGTCGGCAACGGGGGAAATATTTCCTGGCAGAATTTTTCTAAATGTACCAATTGGCACGCGCCGACACACGCGCGCGGCACGACGGCTAAAGTCACATTTGGCCTCATTTCTCAGTTTTCGTTGTCGTCGTTCTGCTCATTCACCCGGGAAAGCCAACGTTTTTGTTTCTCGAGGGGCACTTCCAGCAGGGTCCCACCAGGTTTTGGTCCCAGAAGGCAACGACGCTGCTCCGTGTGGTCCCAGCCGAGTATTGTGCAAGTCACTTTCAGCTTTAGGATGTTTGGCCAATCAATGCCAGTTACGTTTTTCCTTTATTGTATTCAAAAGGCACAGGTGCAGCGCTGCAGCTGCTTGCTCACGGAAATGGCCTCCACACTGGACGAATCTCCAGAGGGCATTTGGCCTACTCTTCCACGCTGAGCAGACTTCTCGAAAGAGGTTGGCGTACCCACACTCTATCCAACCATGCAAGACGTGCGCCGATGGACTAGTCCAGTGTGCTAAGCACCACACCGATTTGCGCGGTTGGCTTACGTACGGCGCTACGTACAGTGTGAAAGAAGTTCAACTTCCAAAGGTGGCAACCGCATTTCGCCTCTCACTTGAGAGGCACGCAACCCTTACATTTATTCTATTCACGCGGCAACAACGCTAACCGTGTTACCCCAGTGACGCAAACAAAAACTATTTAATGAACCCTACGCTCAAATCGCGCGCGTGCAATTCAGGTCAGCGTGAGAGCTGTGCTTGCCACAGCGACGGATGAGAATCCCTCCCGTTTGTGATTCGGCCTGTGGTGCTCCACTTTCAGTATTTCGAGCTATCCCATGCGCCTGCCCAGTCAGCTGCAGACGCACGTTTGCCCCAACACTCTCAGCCAGCTGTGTAAACTACGTGTGCATGCGTGTATGTTGAACTTATTTTGTACCCTATGCAGCCAATCACGCTAAGAAGAGGAGCGGCGGGGGGGGGGGGGTTAAACAAACTACTATTTACTACGACTATTTTCTTATGCTACCAGGTGAGGCCCACTGAGCTATGTAGCTCTTTCTCAGAAGCAACCTGGCCACAAATGATCGCTCAACGAAGTGGCTTATCATCATCCTGTAGAAATGTATAGCAGTAGCCAAACACTCTAAACGAATGATGTTGATTCTAAACGTGGAGGGAAAAACCCGGAGAAAAATCCACACGACCACGGGGAGAGAGACGCGCAAACTCCAAATATACAGGGGTCGAACTCACGACCTCCTGCATACCAGGCGAGGTACTTAACATCTCGTAGCCACCACCGCAACTCTTGCCAGTGGCTGAGGACAACTACCGAGCGGCAGCCAAGGGAGAGAACGTTCGCCCCCAAGACGGCGTCGCTCACGGGGGAGAGCGATGCGATCAGCTCGTAGTGCTGGGCGGATTGTTGCATCCCAGGACGGTGAGGGATGGCGATGGCTTGGGGGAGGCCTTGATCCAACAGTGGATTAATTGTGGATAATGATGACTGATTATCACCCGACCACTCATGCAATGGGCCTTAGCATGTGTGTGTCGGTTCCGATGTGCGAACCGGTCTTGGGCCTCCCCTAAGTCGACTCAGCCTTAAACAAGTACAGTACCTGGTAATGTGTAAAAAATCAGCATTGGAGAGACAAAGACGACCACATGTGGTGCTGGTCACTCACTCCCTCGTGTGCCATTCCGGCCTTAATAGGTGCTGCTAACAGAACACAAACGTTGGCTGCCACTCAGTAGTTCTTCTCATGCGCCGTGCCAGCCTTGATAGGTATTTGATTACAGGACTTGCCCCAACAGTCTGTATGGCTAAATCTGAGACTTTGATCTTTGTGTGAGTGTGTGCATGTGTGTGCGTGAGTGGGGAGCGGTTGTGTAGCGGTTAGCGCGCTGCACTACGAACCCGGCCACCCAAGTTTGATTCCTGCTCATGACCAACATCTGAACTTATCCTGGGCCTCCCCTAGGTCGACTCAGCCTAAAACGAGTACCTGGTGCGGTGTGTTAACATCGCCACTGGGCAGACAAGGCAGTAGGGGTGTGGCGCTGCCCACCCGCCCCCATGCGTACCATTCCGGAAATTAATAGGTGCTCGCGAAACAGCACTGGCCCCAAAAGTCTGTTGAGGTTATAACGGGGGATCTTTGTCTTTGTGCGCGTGAGTGGACGGGCTTGCTAACGTGTGAACGCGTGCGTGCGAGCGTGCTTGCTTGTGTGCGCGTGTGTGAGTTTCGCAAACCTGCTTCGAGTTAGACTTGCGGCTAGCTGAGGGTGCCCTGGCCCGGTCGCCCATGCTGAATGCATTAGCTCCCGCGAGGTACCCCAAGCTGGCGCTGCATCTGTGTCGAATTCGAGTTTGTTGCGAGGCATCAAAGCGCCCGCCGGCAGAACGCGAGCGGCACAATCGTCCCATGTGTCGCCCTTTCCGCCAGACGCGCACTTTGAATACGAATCCCCTCTGTCATGGGGCGACTTTTTAATCATGTTGTTTTATTTTTCTACCGCAGAATAAAATATGAATTAACTGGACAAGATATGTTGAATGTGACGTTTGCGTTCTGGACAAATAAAGACTTTCCCAGCCGTGAAGTGTGGAACGCAGCTGCTAACGCAGAGACGGTCCCTGTGCATGCCAATGAACATCCGCCTCTTTGACTGGGTTTTAATGGCAGTCAATAAATATGAACGATAATAATCCACACTTTTATCTCGATGGACAAAGCTCCTTTAACATTTCCCTAAAATAGCTGAAGAGGGAGTTAACGTGTTAGAATTTTTTTTTACTTCGCGTTAATCTTAAATGATGGGCAAAGGCAAAATTCTGTCATGTTCTGCACTTCTGCCCTCTATCAAAGTAACCATGAGTCGTGTTGACGTAAGTTTCCCCGCGGAAGCCGGGGCTATACAGTCACCCAAGACGAATGGCAGCCGTTAACTCCACAAGCAAGACGCGTGCACACACACACATACGCACGCACAACAAAAAAAAATAACTTTCTCACGTTGAGCTTCCAGCACGACCGGAACTATTTTTGCCTGTTCTTTTCTCGCCAACCAATTGAACGGCAAAGTAAATATTTGTTTGTTTAATCTGAGGAGTTGTCGACGGTCACGGGCAAAGTGCCTCCCGCGCCCCGGCCCCAACGCTGCGGCGAGACGCTCGAGGCGCTGTTCGACAAGCTGCCCTCACGTCTGCAGACGCGGCTCCGACTCACTCCGTTGCCATTTTGTGAATGTACTGCGTTGACCTATTGACCCCGCCCACGCTCACGACGGGTCTCCCACGTCAATCACCTCGCACACGTCTCCAGAAGGTTTAACGAAGTGAGAAGTGCTGTAAAATTACCCGAATACTGAATTCGCACAGATGCCTTCTTTCGCCATTTAAAAAGCCTCGTTTCACTATTTAAAAAGCCTCGTTTCGCTATTTAAAAAACCTTCTTTCACTATTTAAAAAGCCATGCTGTATTTACTACAGCTGCAAAGCATCAAGGGAGGGGGTAGAGGAAGATGGGTGGGGGTTCATTTTTGAGCTAAATTGAATAAACCTGCTCCCCCTCATGGGAAACTGACCTTTACAATAAGTCATTAACATTTTCTGGGCCACTCAGTCCAATATGAATCGTAACAAAAGTTACTTACAAGGCCATGATTTATGCTTTCTTTGTCACTTATCTAACGATTATGTTGGGGCAAATACGCCAATTTTTTTTCTTCGTTGGAAAAAGAAAAAAGTCGAGAGGGAATTTTTAAATATATTTTTATCAACCACACGGCCTCCTGTGAGCTGTGTCGCTCATATTCTGGATGGACCATCGGTCAGTTAGTTTAAAATGGTGGGAAGGCGGCATCTGAACCAACCCAAACGCCAGACGTGCATCGGCAGTGGCCAATCGCCCGGTGGGATATGTGTCGCATTGGCTGAGATGTGCGCACGAGAATGGGCACGCGCACTAAAGGCGGGTTGAAGAGAGGCAATGGCGTGGCGTGCTTGGCAAGGGCTCGAGTGCGAGGAATTAAACGGGGAACTCCGTCCAATTTTCCCCTTTCGTCTGAGCCCAAGACCTGAGACTGTGCGGTCTGTGGACTCTGTTGCAGCTGCACCACCTGAACACCTGATAGCTATGCCACTGAGAAGAAGAGAGTGCGACCAAACTTCTGCTTTCGTAAAAAAATACAGACAATTCACGGTCGTGCTCTTAGGCCATGTCAAATGATTTTGCTCTGCTGCTGCGAGTGCTCACCGGCTGCGTAAGCGCCGGCTGCTGGTGAAAGTGGGCGGCGAGGTCCGGGTGGAGGCCGGCCACGCCACTGCCCACGGGTGCCACGTGCATCTGAGAGACACAGGCCGAGTACTGCGGGGGGTTCATGCCTTCCACCTCCATCGGTGTGTACGGTGGCACCGGTGCCGCGTTCCACGGGTCCCCGTTCCCCGCCGAAGCCAAGCACGTGCCGATGCCGGCGCCCGTGACCGTCACGTGCTGCTGCACTAGAGCGGCGGCGGGCCAGCCACGGTCAGAGCGGCCGTTCTGCATCAATCCGGCAGACACCGGCCCCTGGCAAGGGGGCTGAAAGGACGCCACGGGCTCGGCACCAAAGTTCGGGACCCCTCCCGCGTAGCCGTGGCCTGGCAAACCGGCGAAAGGGCCCTGACACGCGCCGCCATCCATCGTGCCGTGGCCGTGAGCGCTGTTTACGAGGGCCGGCCCGGTGACTCCGCAGTGTCCCGCAACACCAGGCATTTGCATCTGGTCTTGCATGACGTTCGCACAGTCCCAACCTGGTTGCGTCGTCGGGCTCCAGTTTTGTAATTTGCTTCCGAGTGTCAGCTGACCATCCACGTACCCCGAGCGGGCGTGTGCCATGCCATGTGCCGACGCAACATTCGCGTTCCACTGTCCGGCACCGCCGCGAGGCGTGCCCTGCTTGGGCAGGCCGAGTGCCGGCACGTTTGACGCGCCCTGTGAAACTACGACGGCCCCGCCGTTTGCCCCGTCGAAGAAGTTCTGCGGCAGGAAGCCGTCGCGAACGTCGTTGCCCTCCGACATCGCTGCCTGCTTTGGCCTCGACATTGGCGCTTTCTGCACGCAGTTCTGCGCCGTCTCGCGGCCGCTGTAGAATTCAAAGCCGCGTGCGAAAAGCGGGCTCGGGAAACCGAGCTGCGCTCCGGACGGCTCTGGGCCCACGGCGCCGGCGTTCGGGTTGGGCAGCTGCGACGCTGCGCTGTCGGCACCCGGCGCGACGCAGCAGTCGGGCTTCTTGAGCAGGTCCTCCACAAAGGAGATGATGTCGTCGTTGGAGAGGATGTTGCCCAGGTGCGGCGACATCTCCATGTCACCCATGATCAGCTGCCGCTCCTCCTCCACCAGCTCGATGTCGTTGACGTTCACTCCGAGCGTGTCCAGGATGTCGGTCAGCTCGTCCCTGGTGCACGCGCCGGGGTACGGCGTCAACGCCGCCCCCGCCCTGCCCCTATCGTGCTCCTCCAGCTTGATCCGGCCCAGGCTCCGGTTGAAGTCGTCGTCGCCACCTCGGCGGCACACCGAGCCGCCGGCGGCGACGCCGCTCGGTGCGAGCCACGAGGCGTCGTTGAACGTGTACGACGGGAGGCGGTCCTCGCTGGAGGCGGCCGTGCGCACGTACACCGACTGGTTCTGCATCATCAGCGCGGCCATCAGCGAGCTGGGGTCCATGGGCCATGACTTCCCGCCGCCCCTGCCTCCGGCCGCTTGACTCTCTCCCCCCACCGCCGCCGCCGCTGCCGCGGCCGCCACCGCTGTCTGTTCGGTTCCTCCGTAACCATCGCCGCCGCCGCCGTCGCCACCGCCGAGGCTGGGGTCCTGCATCGGCGGCTGGAAGAGGTCCATGTTGTAGAGCAGGGCCTCGCCCGTGGTGAACGTGAACGGGAACTGCGTGGCGCGCTTGCGCAAGTGCTCCTCTCCCTCCTCGTCGCTGCGATCGGCGGACGCGGCAAGGGGTGGGAGGTGAAGGGGGAAGCGGTAGCGGGGGGGGGGGGGGCGGGGTGTGGAGTGTGGAAAGGGGGGGGGGGACAGCGGTTACGAAGTAACGGCAAGAGCCGAACGAGGGTGGGGCTGTTCTGCCTGCCGACTGTCGTCCGCGCGCAACCGTCGAGTTTGTCGGGCGGCTCATGGGCGCGCGATCGGCGGGTCCCCCCCACCTGAGCGGCCTTTGCGTGGCGATGATGTAGTCGGGGCGGTTGCCCTTGTAGACGAGCCGCGCGTTGGCTTGCACCCAGGCCCAGCCGTTGTCTTTCGTCAGCAGCCGGAAGATGGTGAACCCGCTCTCACCGGTCTTCATCACTGGGCGAGAGGAAATATGAGAAATGTAAAAATGCAGCCGGAATGTAAACATCTCTTTAGAACTGATTCTTGTTGTATTTAGTTGGTTAACCCTTCCCCCCCTCCCCCCCCCCTCCGCAGTTCCAATTAGCACGGTTGGATCCATATGGTGTGAAAAAAGTTCAACATACATGCAAGAGGCCATAGTGGATAATAATTGTATTACACTGAGTGGAACGACTCCTTTTCAGGAGGGTCCTGCTTTGCGTTTTTAATTTATTTTAAGATATTTCCAGCGATTGAATGTTGTTGTGTATACACCTTGGAGGAAAGCGGAGCGCCCGGAGAAAACCCACGTGCGTGAAGGGGCAACGCTCTATCCCCATACAGATGGAAACAGATGGCGATTAGTCCAACTTGCTGTACTGCCTTCGCCTGGCGAGCCAGGGTGTGGTACTTAAACGGCCAACGGGAAGGGAGCTCCGTAACACCCGTGCGATTACAGGCCACACGCATAGCCACCATTGCTCGACAAAACCGACGATGCTACTAAAAGCTCGCGAGTGCGCGCGTAAAGCCCTCACTTCGGACGTGGTTGTCAGCGCAGTAGAGCATGTCCCCGGCGTGGATGAACTGGTAGCCCGTGCCGCGCATGCACAGCTCCATCTCGCTGTAGCCCAGCACGATGCGGCCCCTGACGGCACAACATGACCGACGGACGCCGGCGGTTAGTTGCATAGATGGCGAGCGCGAGTGCTGCTGGCACCGCTGGCAAAGCGCCTGGCGGGACAACTCTTGCACAAGGAAAACTGGAGGTGCAATGATTCACCTGCCCGGCAGGCATTCGATGAGTCGTTGCAAATTGGGGTAGCGATTCGCTTCGAAAAGCATTATTTTCTTTAATAATACTCTGGCGGTTCGAGACTCCAGATGTGAACTTTAGAAAACAAGGGCGACAGAGCTCGCGCACAGAAAGCGTCGCATTTCGGAAGACGTACGTCCTGGCAAAAAAGAGGCGTTTGGAACAATGGCGTAGATCACGCCAACGGTTTAAAGAGTCAAGAAGAGTTCAAATAGTGCTGAGGGAGACCCATCTGAAATATACACCATCCGTACTCATCATGTACGAGTGACAATACTAATTGTGGTGAACTTAACAGCTGCCTGTGGCTGCCGGGGGTCTTGTGAACCCATCAGATAATGACAGATTGTATCAGGAGCTTAATCATAAATAAGAATCGACAAATCGATGCTAAACCTCGATCACTGTCACGCAAAACACGGCTACCGTTCTCTCTGTGCCGCTTCACAGCGATCGGCGTTCACGAGCCAGTGACACGACGCTACGTAACTCTGATCGGCACGAGAAAAACAAGCACTGCCCCCAGATGTTTCCGCGCAACAACAACAACAACAACACGAGACGACACTTTGCGGTGGCGTCTCACCTTGTCGAGCTAAGGACACTGACCGAGAGAGATTCACGAAAAAATTCACATCGCCGGCGCCGGAAATTAACAAACAAAAATGTCCCATGCTCTGACGAACGACGCGACGAGACCGTGCGAGCGCGTGCACGAACTTGGCGTCGCAGCCCGTCGGCGTGAAGTCGAGCTTGTGCTTGGTGCGGAATATGATGTTGCGCGTGCGGATCTCCAGGATGGACGGCGGCTGCAGCGGCGTCGCCACGCCGAACAGCGCCAGCTGCGGCGGAGTCGGCGAGCCGTCGAGCCCCCGCTGGTTCTGCCCGTGCAGCAGCTTGAGGCGGCCCTGGATCAGCAGCGCCTGCAGCCACCCCCGGGGGCAACGTGGCCAGGACGCGTTAGGGGCCGCGCCTGCGTTAGGGCCTGGGCGAGTTAGGGGCTGTGCGAGTCAGGGGCAGCGCGAGTCAGGGGCTGTGCGAGTCAGGGGCAGCGCGAGTCAGGGGCTGTGCGAGTCAGGGGCAGCGCGAGTTAGGGGCTGTGCGAGTCAGGGGCAGTGCGAGTCAGGGGCTGTGCGAGTCAGGGGCTGTGCGAGTCAGGGGCTGTGCGAGTCAGGGGCTGGGCGAGTTAGGGGCTGTGCGAGTCAGGGGCAGCGCGAGTCAGGGGCTGTGCGAGTCAGGGGCAGCGCGAGTCAGGGGCAGCGCGAGTCAGGGGCTGTGCGAGTCAGGGGCAGCGCGAGTCAGGGGCAGCGCGAGTCAGGGGCAGCGCGAGTCAGGGGCTGTGCGAGTCAGGGGCTGTGCGAGTTAGGGGCTGGGCGAGTCAGGGGCTGTGCGAGTTAGGGGCTGGGCGAGTCAGGGGCAGCGCGAGTCAGGGGCTGTGCGCGCTGTCCGAGCTCCACTTCCCGTGATGCGTTTTTCGCGGTCACGATCGACGGCTGATGTGACTCCTGTCGTACGTGTTAGCCGTGTAGACATCTACAGACGCATTTGTTAATCGTCATCATAATAATAATAAAAAGACGATTTATGACACGTGCATATGTCACGAATTAGACGCAATGCTTCCATCGGGTACTCGGAAGCACGTAGCTAGAGCTGAACGGGTGAGAATGTGAATGAGTGAGCCTTCAACTGTAGCTTGATGCAGGTCATGGTTTTGGTTCATTTAAATGTATTCACACGTCAACTTAAATTATCCCTCAGGGATCCACGGTAATCAATGTGACCCGAATTAAATTAACTGTAAAATCAAATTGACTGATTATGGGAGTTTTATTGAGCACTCGTCGATGACCAGGCTGAGCCCATCAACTCACGACACTTGAGAAGTTTAATCACGGAAGGCTGCAACCTAAATTCAAACCCTGGATTCTCATCATCAATGTTTCTCCCCCATTGCGAACTTTATGTGTTCGCGATTGGCGAGTGAGCCAGCGGACGGCTTCGGAAGCATCCTGGTGAATATCAGACTTTGTTTCAGTCACCTATGCTGTAAATTAAAAATGAGTCCACTTATAGGCCTACGATGAGATTTATCACAGTCGTCAATCCTTCGCGACTGAGTAAACGGCAATAAATCCGAGTCTAGAAGTGCAAATTACAAGCAGCCGGCGCTCTCATCGGGGCTGAGCCCGGCAGGCGTTTGCGTGAGGAGGGGTCGGGCCTAGGCAAGGCATGTGGGTGAGCAGGAGTCAAGCCTTGACCCGGCCGGGTGGGTGGGTGGCGCATGGTGGGAACGGGGGGGGGGGACAGCGGTAGGAGAGGGGGGCAAGTGTTCACCAGAAAGCCGGACGAGTTGTCCAGCAGGCAGCGGAAGCGACACATGAACTGGCGCTCCAGGAAGGAGGAGTTCTCGGGCGGGAGCTGCTGCGGGTGGAAAGTGGTGACCGTGCCCAGCCCTTGCTCCACGGCCGCGCGCCCGTCTGCGGCGATCAGAGACAAACGCCCACTCGTCCTTCATTCGTTCGTTTGTTCATTCGTCGACTTTATTCGGGACCAGGTGAGAGCTCATTCAGACTACGAGTCTCTTTTGCAAGGCAGAGCTGAATAATCAAGTTTTTTTTGACAATCCACTGCTGGATGAAGGCTTCCCCACGCGGATCACGGGGGGGGGGGGTGGGGGTGGAGTTTGACCACACCAGTACAGATGTCGCTCGCCACCGATGTGAGAGGCCGCACGGTGCCTGGACCACCGCACCGCAGCTTCACCCCTTCAATTGCTTTCGCTTAATCTTTCAGCAGTACAGCACAATCCACTTTTGGGCTGTACTATGCTCTATGCTACCACACATCTGAGCTGGTCTTGGACACGCCCCCCCACCCCCCACTTCCCCATCCCACCCACACTGACAGGCATGGTGAAGTATAGCCAAACAACGCCCGTGACCCCGCATGGCATGGGGAGACCTCCACACAGCAGTGATTTCCCAAACCGGCCGCGCGCACAAAAGCACACACACAAGCACACACGCAGACACATGCGCACCTTCTCGCTAACATTTCATCCCCCGTGTGCGCACGCCGTAGTTTTTGATCTTTCACACACGTGTTCCGTGTTGTTCCTCGTTACCCAGGTCCCCCCCTTGAAAGGAGAGAACATCGCTCTCAGTGTGGCACCCCCCCCCCCCACCACCACCACCCCCGCCACTGTCGCCCGCGCTAAATCAACGACGCCGTCGACCCGCTCGTTTTTTCTCGCCTGAGGGCAGCCCCCCAGGGGAACCGCCGGCCGCTTCTCACCTCCTTGGCTGCCGTCGCCGCCACCGCGGGCGCCCTGCGTGGACGCAGGGTTGAGCGCCCAGTGCAGCTGGCGGCGGAACTCGCCGCGGTCCTCCGTGTGGACGAGCTCGTACACGCTCTGGTGGACCACGTCGCACTGCGGCGGCAAGAGGGAGGAGGTTCGGTGTGACGCGAGAGCGGGCGCAGCGGGTGCACACCGGCGCGATACGAGTGCCCCGAGAACGAGCGATTGGAATGGGTGGACCAAAGCCATTTGCCGTCGCAGCGCCACGGTTTAGTTTAGTGCTGGACGCAACCACATTTGCCAATGTGATTTGTAACTTTAATCCTTGCCCATGCATTGATAGTTCAATTTTAATGTTATTGAGGGATTATGTGTTTCATCATGAGGCCTCCTTTGCCAGTACCAAAATATACTAATAGGGTTTTTCCCCTTTTTTCTGGAAACAAAACTGACACCTTTTGCAAGGAATCATGTTTACATTAACCACAATACCTGCAGTCAAATGCAAACAAAAAACAATATTCAGATAATTTATGCATTGTCCTTAAAACTGATTGGTCCACACCAGAGACAGCTTTTCTTAGAGCCTAGTGTTCGACCAGATGACGCCAAAACACCATATGAGACTAGGCTCTAAGAAAAGCTGTCTCTGGTGCTTTGTTTGTTGTAACTTTCTGACCCGCCCCTACTGAACATCTATGAAAAAAGAGCTGCATAGCTCATCGTATTTCTCGAGGGTAAATACAGATTCTGATTCTGTCTCCCATCGGCTGTTTTTTTTCCAAACGGCCGCTCGCTTCGTCTGTCGTCATCCAGAGCCCATCGGCATTGGTCGCCATTCCCGGGGGGATTTCATTTTCTCACTGAATATGATTTTGAGTCGCCCGTGGAGTGGCGCGGGTACATGACTGGTCATAGACGAGAGGTACGCTTGGATGTGGTGTGTGCGGGAATGGAAACCGGGTTGCCGAGATGTTATCTCCCGTGACTGGTATGCAGGAGGTCGTGGGTTCGATCCTGACCCTGATGCCTGTATATTTGGAGTTTCCATGTCTCTCTCCCCATGGTCGCGTGGATTTTTCTCCGGGTCCTCCGCTTTTTCCCTCCACATTTAGAAAGATGTGCTTCGAGTATTTGCCTGCTATAATTTTGCACGTGATAAGCCACTTCGCTGTGCTATCATTTTGTGGCCAGGTCGCTTCTGAAAAAGAGCGACATAGTCAGTGGGCCTTGCCTGGTAAAATAAATAAATTGTTTAGTAGTTTTTTTATGAAGCTCCTGGTCGTTACTCGCCTCCCTGTAGGGCCCCCACGACGCTCAAGCATGGACGCATCAATCGCTGCGCTGCAGAGGTCACCTACGTGACCCCTGCATGACTCTCCTGTCCCCCCGGCATCACGGAAACTCGGCGGAGGGATTGACGGATTCGCTCCGACGCGAACAAGCGATGTGACCTCCTCAACGGGAGGTCAGGAAACGGCGCCGGAGGCGGCGGCGAAACTGGCGGAAACTCGGCGAAGGGAAGAATAAGGTGGAAACGCAGCCCACCTGGTGGAAGCCGAGGTACTCCTGGATGGTGTGGGACGTGTAGAAGACAAGCCCCTCCGCGGTCACCACCAACGCAAAGCCGTGCAGCGCCTGCACACGCACACGACACAGCAAGGCGACAAATCTCAAAGCGCCGCAGGGGTGTGTGCGTCACAACACACAAATACAAAGATCACCCGTATAGCCTTAAAAGAGTGTTGGGGCAAGTGCTGTTAGCTAGCACCTATGAAGGCCGCCACGGCACGCGAGGGGGTGGGTGGCCAACGCTACGCTGTTCGTCTCCCCAGTGGCGATGTCTACACACTGCACCAGGTACTCATTTGAGGCTGAATCGACCTAGGGGAGGCCCAGGCCCGGTTCAGATTAATCGTGAGCGGGAATCGAGCTTGGGTCGCTGGGTTCGTAGCACACCGCGCTAACCACTGCAATACCGCTCTCCCCAATTACCTGCACACACACGCACAGTGCAGCACGTGTACATGGGTGCGGATGTCATTTTCTGTAGATATTGACGTCCGCCTACGCGTCACCCCCCAGAGTGGAGTCAGAGAGGTGTTGGCAGCAGCGCTCGCGCGCCAACCGCTACACCGCCGCGACGCAGCGAGGCGACAATCTGAAAGCGCCGTGGGGGCACCAACACCGTGCACACGACAGTGCCCAAGCACGCCACGGAACGCGCACGCACGGGGCCGCTGGCGCCGGTGGTCCGGGCGTCAAATCCGGCGACCCGAGCTCGTTTCTTGGCCGCGGGTAACATCGGCGGCGAGCGATGACCGAAACGGTCCCGGCCGGCGTGGCAATGTACGATCAACCAGTTGCCTACAGCCTCACGCAGCACGGCGAGGCCTCCTCACGCAGCAATGGGTTGACAAAGGTACACGTGAATCATCGTGAGTTGACGCTGTGATTTTGGGCTCGCTTTGATCCCCAGAGGCACTGGAAGTGGCCGCACAGTGCGCTAACTGCAGCGCCACCATACGTTGTAAACATCCCAATGTCCCAAATTAATAATAGCAAAAGAAAACTCGTAAAAAAATACATGTCCTTTATAACCTGATATTAGTATATCATTAAAAAGCATTCATTGGCATAACATTATTAATGCTTTCGGGATGTTTATTTTCCCATAATTGACTCTGCTGTAATGTTGTTGCTGTTTTAATTTTACTGTCACGCTACAAGAGGATATTTATTTATTACGGTCACATTTCTGAGAGAGGCCCGAACCTTGCCAGAAATTGATTCTCCTGCCGTAATTTATTCGCATTCGAGAGTTTGGGTGGCAGCCCTGTAAACGTGACCATGTTTAAAGGGGGGGGGGGGGGTGAGGGGGGGGGCGCCTTCTTCAGTCCCCCCCCCACCGCCTCCAAACGACGATTGTGGGTGCTGTTTGGTGGTGAGGGCAATCACCGGACAGTCCCACCGAGCCGTCCTCGAGGGGGGTGGCTGTCCCTCCCCGCTCCCCCAGGGCCGGATGCCACATAAAGAACGACGCTCGCCCCTTTGATCACCGCTTCAGAGAACATTCTGCCGCAGCTCGCCGTCCTGAGGCCATGCCATTTTGCTCGTTCGTTATTTAAAAATCGTCCCTCCCTTTGAGCGTACGGACGAGCCAGACACGGCGCCACTGTACGCGTCGTTCACGCGGAATGTTGCAAACTTAACCCTCGAGGGAACGGCTTCTGGGGTGTTCCCAACGTCGGGGCAAAATTCTAAACGGCGCAAACGGCTCCGACCGTAATGATGACAAATACCAGAGTGCGCCTGGTGGGACAGGCAATATATATTGTTTTCAGTGCCACAAATTGCATCCTCAAGGCTGCTCAGAAAGTTATTGATGAGTACGTGGCTAAGGGGCCGTCCATAAATGACGTCACGCACCTAGGGGGGGGTCAGACATTTGTGACGATGTGTGACGAGGGGGGGGGGGGGTTTGAGAAATGTAACGTCACATCAAAATGCGCAATTTTAAATATAGACAATACGTTCTACTTAATTAAATAGACTTTTTAATAAATGTTTTCTCCTACAACATCAGAGTAGAGTGCAACATTAAATACGCACTACAATGACAATAGTTTAAAGCGATTTGAAGCATGTTTTCTTTTCAAAATGGAAATATGGTTTTGGGGGGGGGGGGCAGAGCTTTGTGACGTCATATTTGAGGTGGGGGTCTGACTTTTTGTGACGCCGTGTGACGAGGGGGGCGGGTCAAAAATCGTCCAAAATCGCGTGACGTCATTTATGGACGGCCCCTAACGTGTGTGCAGGCGTAGCGACTGCACCGAGGCACCACGCGAATCAGTCGCCCAGGTGGCTACACGGAGGTTGGGCACAAGTGCAGAGGTGGTGGGTGGGGTGGGTGAGACGCCCCATATAACACACTAGCTTTACTACCTGACTTCGCCCGGGACTTGGATTCTTGTCTTAGGTTAATAGACGGCCTACGCCGTCACCGCTCACTTGCCGTGCAAAATATATCCATTATTGCGCCCCCCCCCCCCCCCCAAAATACAAAAGTCTATTTTTATACTTGTTGCATTGTGTACAGTCTGGAAGTTAGCCACATGCCAAATTTAAAGTTTGTTGCATGTTGGGAAGTATTCTAAACATTTGGAACAGACACACATATTCACAAATTTCCCTTTTATATATATAGAGATTAATCATGGGGCTCTGCCAACCACATTGCGCCGCTCATGAGCATGGCTGCTGCTGCTGATGAAGACGATACATGGGTAAGGTCCTGAGAGGTGGCGGCAATATGGAAATGATAATGATGATGATACACCTGCCCTAAAAACTCAGGGCGGATGGTATGCGCACACGGGGGTTTATCAGCGCTTGAGCCTGCGATGACAAAGTGCCAAAGCAGGCAGCCTGCCCTTGCTGCAACCCTCCCCCTCGCCACCCCGCCGAGCCTGGACAGGCCATTTGTCTCCGAGGCTTAGTCAACCCACAAGCAGTTTATTTGGCGAGTGCGGCCGTAGCCGGGACGGCGGGAGAGCAAAACTGACGCCTGGCAGTGGCAGGGAACTGCAGGTGGCAGGGGCACGAGCTCCAAACTCTTAGCACAACTCTCCCGGCAGCCTGAATCATCACCAACATCATTGCCATCGGCAGCAGCCATCATCGATCCACTGCTGGACGAAAGCCTCGCCGAGTCGCCGCCGTCCCTCGTGAATGCTGCGATGTAAAAATCCACGGAGCTCGTTGCACACTAGCCGATTGCATCGCTACACTTCCTCGGATGCTTCAATGCAGGAGAGGAACCCACACTGCCAGACCCCTGGGCTCAAAGGTCAACAGTTCAGTTGTTCTTTCTGCTGTATTCTAAGAAATAACTCGCCGTAATCATCATCGGCAGCCATGATCTATCCACTGCTGGATGTAGGCCTCCCAAAGCCATCGCTATCTCTCACGGTATTGCGATGCAACATTCCTCGGGCGTGCTCTCTCCTTTGGCTGCCGTTCGTCTCGGCCGTTCTGGACGCGGAGACAGCGCTTGCACGCTGCCTGCGCATGTGGGCAACCACAGCGTTAATCCTGCCAACGGCATTCAGGGATTAAAAACTCGTAGGTACGATTTGATCAATGCACCCGGTGCCTCGACACAAACCAAGAGGATCAATGGGCACGGCAAGTAAGTTGGCTGCGAGGGCTTCTACGAAGCACGGCGGTGGTCTTGTACGCCTCAACAATTATATCGGTCGCCGCACCAACGTCCGACCCGGTTCACGGACAGCGGAAAGTCAACTCTGCGCCACGGCTCCGGTGCTAGGGGGGGATGCTGGGTCAGGCCGCGCACCATCAAATCTCCTTTTGTCCGACCCAAGTTCACTCTCCTCAGCGCGGTTTATCACTGCTACGGTGCCCCCCCCCCCCACTGCTCTGCTACCCCCCCCCCCCAATCCAAGAGGAGCTCGAGCCGGGCCTGGCTTGCACCGACATCTCAACATTCCAGTACGCCCCCCCCCCACCCACCTCTGTCCATGCACTCTCACGGGGGCAACGCAAGGACTGCCAAGCGTGCACCGCAAACGCCTCGCAGTGACAAATTTTAAAAAAATTTGGAGGGGGGAAGACTCCAACGCAAAGCGGCGGACGGGCGCAGCGTCACGCAGGTCCACGCCGCCGTTGTTGAGCCTTGACGGACGACGGACGGAGCGCCGGCGAGGCGGCGCGTTGGCCTGCGCGAGGCTCCGAGGCAGAGTCACGCATTCTTGCATGTGGTTTCTATAATTGCGGCCCCGTGTGCCAAGGCGCTATTTGCACGCTATACCATCCCGCCCTCCCGCCCGTTTGTTCGCCCGCCGCCGCGAGGGGTAAGGCGGAGAGAGGAGCAAGCGTGGGTACAGTACAACGTCGCCTCGACAACTCCTCCCTGGACACTGACGCGTAGCCGCAACCACGTACGCGCGCTGCAACTGTGCGCGTGTGTTATCTGAAGCGGTCCTGGGCCTCCCCTAGGTCGAGTCAGCCTAAACTGAATACCTGGTGCGGTGTGTTAACATCGCCACAAACGCGGCCGGGCTTGGTGCTGGACACCCACCCCATCGTGTGCCGTGGCCGGCCTTCAGAGGTGCTCGCGAACAGCACTTGCTTGGCGCCAAAAGAAAGTCTGTTATGGCTATACGGGGGCGTGGGGGGGGTGGGAATTCTTTGTGTTTCTCTGGTGCGGTCAATTGGTCAGGTCGGATATGTGACGGTGCACCGAGAGTAGACGAGAACGCAGACATGTGAACAGATACACAAATACCTGGCATCTCCCATGGGGGCGAATCGGAGCGATGAGCTCACGCTCGGAAATCTGACGGGCTGCCAAAGCAAGCGTTGGCTGCGCGGCTATTTCGTCTGGCATTAGAGATAAACCGAGCGAACTTTCCACTGACAAGGAAAGAATTACCCCTCCTCAAACCGTTCATCTGCAATCTGTAAACGAAGTAATCTCTATTTGAACAAAACATATATATTTTTTATAATTACGCAAACAACCAATATGTAAGTTGCTGTAGGGCTCGCGGCTCATGATTGGAAGTTTCTGAGTTCAAATCTTGGTTGGGCTGGGTGGGGGGGGTGACACAGCCCATCATCCCTCCGGGGTCGATAAAGTGGGTTATCCTTTGGAGAAACTCACCCCTACCTGAGGAATGTGGAATTTCCACCACTGGCTCAAGGCTGTACAGATGAGATGAGCATTTCCCTTTCAGTGCCCATGAGTGGGATATCCCTTATGTTTAACTTTTATATTTTATTTCCCAGAGGGCACCGGTAATAACACAAGGGTCTTAATTTCATTGCCATATCCCACTACGTTTGTCTGCACCTCTGACGCGTTCTGTTCCGACTTTTCCCATGCCTCCACACGGATCACTCCATGGAATGAAATAAACCCCGATCGATGCTACACCTAAGTCCCGTTCGTGGCGGCAGCGTTACCGATGGCTTCCAAGATTGCGTGTCCATCGTGGAATAACCCACACAACAAATACCCGAGGGCCCGAGCGAACGAGCTAGCGAGCGACTGAATCGCTGGGCGACGACCAACGCGACGGTGACCTCACGCGGTGCAGAGTGGAGAGGGGGGGGGGGAAGAGGCGGCCGCTCTAGCGCCGACCGCCGGCGCCGGCTGGGCGGGCTGGCGGGCTGGCGCGTTGCCCGGGCACGCTCGCACCTCACCTGCAGCAGCATCTCCCCCTCGGGGAACGCCGCGGGCACGTCCACGCGGCTGCTCGGGACCCCGTAGCCGGCAATCCCGTTGCTTAGGTGGCGCTTGTGGTTCACGGCTGTGGCAGGCGGGGGAGGGAGAGCAGGGGGGGGAGTGGTGGTGGTGGTGATGCGAGGGAGGGAGGGAGGAGATGGGGACAAGGTGACATCAGCCACAGCGAGCCGAGGTGGCAGCTCGCAATTACAAGTGACGCTGCGTTTGACAACGTTTGGCTTCCCCCACCCACGCCCCCTCCCTGCCCCCCCCCCCCCCCACCGGCCTTGTGAGAGCCGAGAGACCGCTGAGGATTCGTGCTCTGTGCTCAAGGGTCTCGATACACAGATGCAAAACCAAACTTGTCTATGAGGCGTGTGTTGTTAATCTCAGCGTCAATGTTTATCTCTGAGCAATAACGCCACCTCCTCCGTGCGACGCTGGTAGGGTCTGCAAACATCGACGCACCGTCGTTGTCTCCCTCGCCTGCTCTGCAGAAGGTCTGGGTTCGATCCCGGATCCTAATTGGCTGCGTCTAACCCAAAACAAATCTCTATTATGGACACCTGTATATTTGGAATTTGCATGTTCTCTCTCCCCGTGGTGGCGTGGATTTACCTCTGGGTCCTCCGGCTTGCGTTTAAATCATTGGGCTATTACTATGAATTCCCACGTGTGATGATGATATAAGTTACTTTGATGAGCTATGATGCGTGCCCAGGTTGCCTCTGAAAACAAGTCGATAGCTCACTGAGCTTTACCTGATCAACTAAAACAATTTCATTCCCCTTGCAGGTGGGGAACCTATGGCCTCATGGGGCCAGACACGCACGGCCCACGGCTTCGTTTCGTATGGTACCTGGGCCACATGAGGTTTCAACCACTTCGGAAAGGCCCGCAAAACGATCACTTCTCCGTCACTGCGAGGCATCTTATCCACGCCAATCGGGTACCAGAGGGGACCATTTTGTGCCTTGCAACAACACTGCGTATCAACTCGCAGCGAGCTCAGCTCAACCCGTTGTCTTCCGTGTAGCTCCGATCACACGGCCAGCGCATGGCATCACGCTGTCCGTGTAGCGCGACCCGCTGTTAAAGTGTCAACCGACGTGCGCGTGCCCGCACGGGAAGATATTAAAGTGCTTATTCGGCCCTCGGTGCGTGAAAGGGTTTCCCCACCCCTGGCTGACTTCCTTACTCCGATTGCTTTGTTCGCCGCTTTGCCCACGAGGGTCAGCAGAGCGAAATGGGGAACGGCAAAACAGCCCTCCCATAGGCGACGCGCGTCGATAAATTAGCGAGTGAAACGCAGAAGAAATACACAACGCGTGTAAATACACACACACAGTAAAATAAACAATGTGTAAGCAAAACAACATGACGAAGGAGAAGCGGAATAAAGAAATACTGTAGTCATTAGCGAAAACACGGGCACGGGCCTGAAGTTAAATATTAATAGTACGCTGGGAAAACACGTCACGTGACTGTACGTTGACGCTTCGGGTCAGAGCCAATATTTCGCATCTGCTCACGGGAGACTCTCACCCAGGACGTGGTCATAAACTGCACTCTATAGCTCGCCAAAGTGAGAGCGGCGTGTGTCAGAGTCCAGGACGAGGAGGGAGGGGTGCAGCACGGTACCGACGCGCATCTCCGCTGGCCACGCGAGGCCTGAGCGGCGAGAGGATCGCACCGTGCGGCCGGCCCACAGCTGCCCGCGTAAACCGGAGTTGCTACCTGTCCCTAGTGGGGGGGGGGGGGGGGGTTTACCCAGGATTTGTTGTGGTCGCTGTGTCCTGGGGAAATCTGTAAGTCGCTGTCCCGATACATTGAACGTGCCAGTTTTTTTGTCAGTTGCGTGATAACAGAGCACTCGAGATAAAACTTTTCACGTGTAGTGACGTTAATGGAGACACTATGGCGTTAGCGCCAGCTACTGTTACATAACGATGCGTCTCGAGCCTCTCTGGCACCAGAGTAGCTATGGCATGGAAGCGGGCCCTCGAGGGCGGTCAGAGAGAGGGCATGTGAGGACGTGACCGGCACAGGGTAGCGTGGGGGCCCAAAGGGTGGCTTGAGGGACACGTGATGCTCGGTCAAGAACCTTCTGGTGAGATCCAGAAGGGGGCGTGGCCAAAGGCGGAGCGAGGCCACGCTCGGGAGCATAAAAGGGAAGTTGCGAGAGCAATCGCGGCTGTCTTCTGGAATCAACCCGCCGTGCTAAGATTGTTGGTCTTCGGTCGTCACGTTCGGCATCGTGGGTCAGGCAGTACGTCACTGACTTAACCCGGTTATGTAGTTACCCTTTTGGGGTCTAGTTAACTGTTGTTGTACGTTATGTAGTTACCCTGTTGGGGTCTAAACTGTTGTACATTATGTAGTTACCCTGTAGGGGTTGTAGAATAAACTTGTTGCCTCCAAGTTCAAGTGTGTCTCCGTGAAATACACTACACATGCAGCTCTCTCCCCTCCTCTGCTGCTGTTGTGATTAATTCTGCTTCCCGTGATAAGAATGTCCCAATTAGATGCACTGCCCGCACACTCAGAGGCTATGCCACGGTGTGGCTATGACACTGGGTGCCACCTACGATCACAAGGCAATGTGTTGGTGTGGTGCACGCCACGCGGCCTCTCCGGTCGCGTGCCGCAAACCCCCCCCTCCCCCCAGCCTGTCCCCGTGGGTGTTTGTGCGAGAAACCTGAAAGCTGTGCACGCGGGGAGCGGCCAGCTCCATTGGCAGAGGGAAACGCAACGTATGGGAGCAACTTTCCCTGGAGCAGAAGTCGGCAGAGAGCAAACACTGGCAACGCCATTCGCGAAGTTATGTTTTAAACGAATTCCGAGTCGAGATTGCGAGATTTGAGCATTCTTCACCTTCAGTCGATTTACTGCCCAAACCACTGCAGCAAAAAAAAGTGTTTTTGTCACTGGAGCTTTTAAGTTGTCGAGCTGCTGGCCGGACGGTTCAGGGCTCATTAGTGCTGAGCTGCAACCGCTGAGATGCAGGGTACAAATCCGGGCAGACACCTGCGATTAAACCGGTTCTCAGGTGCAATGACTTGACGATAGAATCCTGGTCACCAATGACTGCGCGCACACACACGCACTACATTTTTTTTTTAAATTGAGCTTATCGCTTGATCTGGCTAAATTATAGCTCTCCGACTAAATTTCAGTTTGGTTGACATATGACAAACGCCAATTTTTCAGGACGTTATTAAAGCGGGGGGGGGGGGGATAAAAGAGGCCCCTTGAGAGCAATCTCCGCTCGTTTTTGCGACATCATCTTTTCCGCGGCCGTTTCTGCCGGGGTCGGGGGGGGGGTGATGCAATAATGCTCGTAGCTGCAGACTTTTTTTTTCCTCGTGCCATGACACGATGCCGGCGGCGCACATTTGGAACGTGCTCGCAGCGGCGGCGGCGAAGAAAAAAAGATAAATGGGGTGAACATTTACGCTTCACTTGGGGATTGTAATTCCGGTTTCTTGCTGTCTAACCGGACGGTTACTGCATGGCGGAGAGCGCGGGCCGGTATCGAAACGTGTGCGAGCGCAGTAACTGCTGCTCCCCCTCGTTGAGCGCGCGGAGGCCTGACGCAGGCGGCTCGGCTCGGTGAGCATCGATCACCAAACGGCAAACGGAGGAACTCCCGATCTCCCCTCTGTGCCAATCTCACATCTTTTTACCGTTGAAAACAAAACAACAGCAAAAAAAGATCAAATCATCGTGGCGTGTCTCGGTTGTCAGAGCTGGCCCACGCTGAACCTCCAGAGCATCTCCACCCCAGATTTCATCACTTTCATCAGCACCAGGTGTGTCCATGTCACATCGGTATCTGAACGTTTCGGCCAAATTCGGCTCCTTGACATTAACATGTCGATGGCATGGTGGAGGCGGGTGGTGGGGGTGGGGTTAACTCAGTAAACTTTCAGCAGCCAACAGGGAAGTTGGCGGTGGCATGATTCAGTTTATCAGGCTCAGTTGTCTTTGTTTAACCACGTGAGCACCCTATGAGATTGCAAGTTCCTTTTGAAAGTGTGACCTGGGTCAGCGAAGAGGAATATGTTTTCAACCTGGTACCAATCTTTCATGTAAAACAACATCTCACGGCTCTCCATAAATCCACTGCTGGATCATGGCCTCTCCCATGGGGCGTTGTTCAACCGTACTTCACCATGATGGTCACTGAGAGTCGGTGAAGTAGCGAGATCAGGCACCGCTGCAGATATCGCTCTCACCCCTGGCGTTTGCCTCGTCTGGGAACCGAACCTGATTCTCTGGCTCCGCAGGACGAGCCATTAACGACGGCGCCACCGCTGCTGCTTCAACGCTCTTCACAAAGCGGCTCTGAAATACGAGGTCGTTTGGCTCCGCTCTGCGAAATCATCGCAGCCCTGGCCGTCGCGAATGATGTACACACACGCGCGTGGCCGTAATTCACATTGAAGAGAGCGAGCGCTTTGTCAGCAGGAACATAGCGGCTGCTCGATTCTGCCGACGGCGTGGAGGCCTCGTGATGCCGCCCCGCTGGGGACAAGGGGTGAGCGGAGGGCAGGTGGCGTGGGTGACGCGGGTAAACATATCAGACGTGGTCTCCGGTTTACGGCGGTCCGATTTTACGACGATCCACACTGACGACGTTTATGTGGATCGATTTACGACGATTTACGACGCATCTTGACTCCAAACGCATTTGGACAGTCGGTCTCGTTGGCGCTTTCGTCGTTGGGAAGTGTTTTTTTTGTGGATGCTTACCTATTAAACCCGGTTAAATATGGCCAATAAATGGAAAAACGCATCGGCAAGTGATGTTTCTTCTGTTTCTCCTGTCCATGGGAAAACGACGTCGGAGTTACCAGCGGGTACTGCCTGTACCTGTGGCGGGCCGAATTAGAAATATTGAATGGATGATGAACAAAAGAAACACATCCGAAACATAATTTCGGCGAAAAAAATTACTTCCAAAAGCGAGAGGGCGCAAGGTTTTCCTGCTGACAGCGCACATGGTAGACCCGGGGGCAGCTGTCGCCGCTGGTTCGCCGTCGCTAGGTCAGAATCCCAGAAACTCGCTCTTGAACAGCTGTG